GCTACGACTGTCATAAATAAAAACAAAATCTAAAGAAAATTTGTCACTCTCGCTCTTGCAACATCTTCAGTGGCTTCACTAAACATCTTGAAATTTCAGTTCCCAAGATCTTTTGCAACATCTTGGCTTACTTTACTCAAGATCTTGGGAACAGAAATTTCAAGATGTTTAGTGAAGCCACTGAAGATGTTGCAAGAGCGAGAGTGACAAATTTTCTTTAGATTTTGTTTTTATTTATGACAGTCGTAGCCATTGGATATACGACCATATAGAGTCATAGTTTCTTCCTTAGACAACTATGGTCAAGAAGGAAAAAAATTCGAAGTTATTCTAAGTGTGAAAGTATTCGCACTTATATTTACACAAGAGTGTGAAAACAAAACTATGATTCAAGAATTTCCAAGATCTTGGTACAAGAAGTCAAAAAATTACAAGATGTTCAAGATCTTGACTTCTTGAAATTTCTTGAATTCTTATATTTTCTTATCAATATACTGAATCCAGATCTTACCGAAAAAATTCAAGAAGTCAAGATCTTGGTTACAAGATGTTTTACTAGGGTATCCATCAACTTGATTGCTTTTCTCTAATATTGTCGAATAAAATAAGCCTAACTAAAAGTAATTTTGTAGTATTGGAGCAAATCAAATGTTGATGATCAATTCATTGTTTGACCATGACTTTCTGGCTTGCTCTTCTGGTCGCAGACGCAATCTTCCATTCGAATTCGTTGTATTTTGTAAGCTTTTCAAAGTTTTCTAAAAGATGTTTTCTTTTATGTATGGGAAAGGAAGATAACATTCTAGTAACATGAGTAATTGAAGTATTTTTTTGAACAAATTATGTATTTTTTCCTGACTGAAACTGATGAAACAAATTATGTACGAATCAAATTTCTATACAAGCTTGTATCTTAATACATAAGATAACATAATATACGTCTCAACTGAAAATGGACTTATTACATTAGGTACATTACTGGTTTGTCGTCTCAAATGTAAATGTTCGAAGAATGATGGACTGGTTCTAAAACTTGAACTAGACACTCTTTATGTAATTCTATTTACTTTGTCAGGATACTAAGTAAGCTCATACTGGATATTATCTTTCTTAAGCATAAGGTGACTGAACATTTCGGCTAAAAAATATCCTCATTTGTTAAATAGTTGAATTTTTTTTAGCTTTCTACTCTTCGTTTATGGTGGGAAAAAACAGTTATGTTTTCCAAATAAAACAGTGTATAACACACTGGTATCATTTTAGGCACAACTTGTATAAATTTAGCATGTGATTAATTGTACATAAGCGTTTATTAATTAATAGAGAGCATCACTGTTCACTTGATACAAAACACGTAAAAACGGTTGTATAAAGAAAAAAATCATTTCGTAGTTTCTTTATCGCATTGTCCATTTCTAAGCATGCACCGGTTATAACCCATAAATTTCACATTTTTCTGCAACGAATTGCATGAAAAATGTGCACATTAAAATTTTCTGTTCCGTTGTGTATGTCAGCGACATAAAACAGTTCACGAAATTAATTCTCATTATTGGTGGTTATCTTATTTGGTTTAAGCTTTAATCCTGAACTGAGCTGAAATCGGGAATATAAATTCTCATCATATCATTCTGAAACTTAAACTACTAAAACACAAAATCAATCCTTGCACGAAGCAAGAATCAAACACACGAACTTGATCTTTGCAGGCGAACTGCTTTATCTTATTTTGCTGTTGACATATTTTTAAAACACTGTTTACTATGTCAGTTACGTAAACCAATTAAACATCATGTTCGATCGAAATTTTTTTTCCTCAGAATTCTTCAGTAATATTAAAATATTTTCATTTTATTTCCTTTAATGTACGATCTCTACCACCATGTACTATTCGTTTATTATGTTGTAATTATGTTAAATATTTCCGAGAGATTAACAATATAAAGTATATTCTCTTGTGAATGCTGAGGACGCTTAATGAGGCGTTCGTCAGTATTATTAATAATGCAAATTTCTGTAATAATTTCCGATGTTTCTTTCCTTTCTGCTAAATTTTTAGATAAATTATTCAAAAACTTTATTCTGTTAATTATTTCAATATCTTTCTCTGGTATAATATAAATATTATTTTTAGATTTATGATTTTCGAGCAAACTATTAAAACGAATAATAAAAGCTTCTTCCATAATTTTATACATAATAGAGTTATAGTGTTATGCAACTACGTTATTTTGAACGTATTTATAGGCTCTCTAAAAACTGAACTTTTCAACCTGCTGAATTGTCTGGCGTTTTTCTGTTCTTTCATTTCCAGATTAACTCAGTTTAATCATTTACAGCTTAATCGCTTAAAGAACATAATAATCCTTCTTCATTATTAATTAGGGAACTAAATTTTAACTTTTATCATATCCATGTGTCGTTTCGAAAGAAAAGACATTAATCGAAGGTAATTTTAAGAAATAGATTACTAGGTTTTATATTCTTTTTCATCTCTCACTTCAAGCATCAATTATCTACATAATTTATCAATTGATTACATTCCAACAGAAATTTCAATGCTATATACTCAAATTCTCTGAACACTATCAGGAAATGTGCACCTTTCCTGATTTTCTACATTCCCTGTAACATATATAAGTGTTTGAGTTTAAGTATTGCTTTAATATTATCATTACACACTAGCTAATGCTAATATTTCTGTGGCACTCAGTTCGCGTCTATAAGTATAAAATTCGTCAATTGATCCTTGAAAGCCATACGACGGTATATAACCGTTACCATTACCAGTTCCCATTTGAATAGTTTGGAAATTGTAGTTAAAATAGTACGTAGAAATGCCCGTTATTGCACCTTGCGATACACCATTAACATATAAAATAAAACCATTTGTTACGCTAAATGTGCAGGCCACATGCACCCAAGTATTCACTACTGCAAAAGTACCGTATATAGTTTCCCAAACGTTTACAGGAGCTTGTTCTAGAATTTGGGCAGCGATTTGACCACTGTAAGTTAAGCCAAGCATCGGATATCCTTGAGTACTATATACGAAATTACCGCCATTGATAGATGACGGGGAGATCCACATGGCAAATGAAAGCGATCTACTAGAAGGCCAACCAACCCCAGTAAAACAGCATATTTGCAAATAACTTGAAGTGCTTGTGAAGCGAACGGCTTGACCCACATGTCCAGTTGTAGCTGATAAAATGTTCGTAGCTGTTGCATTTAGACGATTTGGACCATTATCGTAATAGGGATTTGGCTGATCGAATGAGTAGTAGAATACTTGCATTGCATCATTTGATATTTCTGTTGAACTTTTAGCACGCGTGGTCAATTGTGCATTATCTATGATGCCGTAGTAATAAGTCGATATTAAATTTGGTAAAGCACCAAAGTACATAGATCCATTTGTTCCAAGATAAGGCGTCACACTAGAACGGATTGCATCTTGAACACCCTCGAGGTAAATAATTTGTTGAAACGTTTGGTAGTTATACACGAAGGCCACATGATACCATGTGTATGTGGACAACGTGGTTGATCCCGATAAATCATTGAAATTAAAGCCCATATACAATTTACTACTTCGAACAACAAGAAATAAACACTGGCTTGTACAAGTGGTACATGTACATTGACTAAATATAGGCTGATCAGTCGATAAACTGTAAAAATAAACCCATGCTTCAAATGTGAAACTTCGAGAGTTTAAATTGAAATAGGATGAGGCTGGCACTTGCATATAATTGTTTGTGTTAGGTATGTAGAAATATGTGCCCCCATAGAATCCTGTTGTGAGGTATTGACATGAGCCACAATTACTTGTTCCATTATAAACACCATATAAGTCATTGCCATTGCCTTCAAAATTCCAATAAGCAAGAACTGGTGCATCGGTTGTTGTATTGGTTGTCGCTGCTACCGAATCTACAGTTTTAGAAAAGATAATATGACAGACAATTTCTTTCGAAGTTAGATGCTTACGTTTACTGAAAATGACTGCCACTGGTATCACAATGGCTGCAATAATTGCTATGCCCGCTATAATTCCGCAGACAATTAAAACATTTTTTGTCAACCATTCCGGCCGCGTAAATTCCCAACGGGAAAACTGAGAAATAAAACGCGCGACAGATATGAGAAACATAAGTTATCTCCCATCGTATTTACCTTTTGTGTATTCTTTATTGTTCCAGTTTTGTCCGATTTTACTGATATATTTCTTGTAGTAACTGGAGATACGCTTCCCTAAATAATAATACAAAGAAAATACGAGCACATAAGTCTGGTATTTTTTTATTAAAACTTCAACCTAACCCTTACGATAGTCAAATCGTGTGTGGTTACCAAATCAATCTCACCTTATTACAGATCTTCGAGATATTTAGTTTTCGAGATCTGAGATTGATAGCGTACTCTCTAAAAAAATACGTATTTTAAGAAACCAAAAGGGTATTTCGTCCCTTCCACGAAACGAATTTTGGCGTTGTATGAGATGCAAAAAACCAAAATTGGTATCCCGACTGCTGCTAAACGGTACTCTAAGTAATCAAAGGGTTTTTTATTTGAAAAAGGGTATTTCAGCTTTGAAAATACCCTTAGAGCGTATTTCATTTCAGGATACCAAATTGGTTTTTTTGCTTTTTGAACCTTTTTTGGCTTTTAGGATAGTGATTCTTTGCTATCGTTCTCAACCTAGATTTTTTTACACTGATTTTTTAGGCTTATTTTCATCACCCAATGACTTTCTAGTCATGAATTAACCAAATAGATGCGTTTGCAAACTTTTGACGAAATTTATAGTATTAATTCGTCTTTGGATCTAATTCTCGTAGATTCCCATTACAGGTACTGTTTTGTTTTAAGAACTTTTCAAAGGCCTGCGCGAAGTTTTGATGTTTCTTGAGTCTCCTTTCTTTTTGATCATTGAGAACCGATTAAATTGCGCTGAAAATGTTAAATTGTGCTACGAATTTACAATGGAAGAAGAAATCTCCTCTTCGAAACGAACTTAGAAATAGTTTGAAAATGTTGGAGATGGCGCTGAAATTAAAGAAATAGTGCTGGAAAATCTGAAATACTGCCTGATATTTTAAGAGAAAGTAACGTAAGCAAGGTCCTTCCCTATGTGTCCAGAAGGCGTCTCGTAAAGAATGCAAAAATATAATATTCGGCTAGAGCACAATTTCTTACCTATTTGGGGTGAAAGCAGAACATTTTTATATGCTTTTCCTTCAAAAATTCAACTTTTTCAAATATACTTTCAACATTTTTTTTTAAAGCCACACTCATGTCACATAATCACTAAATGCGGATAATCTTTTTTCGCCGAGCCTGGATGCACATTGATGTAACATTCTTTCTGGCATTCGTGCGTATATGCACCGACGGTATTTTACAGTACCAAAAGGGTTTTTTCTCGAGAATAAAACCAAGTTTGGTATTTCAAACTTATTATATGTCTGAAAATATTTAACAGAATTATTTCTTTTTCGTTCGATTTTACTGAGTCGTTTTGATTTAGTACCAGCGATTTAAAAAGAACATGGTGTTTAAATATCCGTAAACGTAATCTAGAAAACCAAAACAGGTGTTCGAAGATACGTTTAAGGGTATCTGCGTTTGTTACTAATAAGAACCAATTTTTGGTTCCGTGGCATCAGGAATACGCGTAAACGTCACCTAGAAAACCAAAAGAAGGTATTCTAAGATACGAAAATTGGTTCTTATTAGTAACAAATGCAGATACCCTTTTTTTGGTTTTGCAGGATATCTTTCTTTTTTAGAGAGTAGTCAAGGCCAGAGACTGGTTCTTTTTCATCAGAGAAAAATGCTTAACGTAGAAAAATGATTAAAAAGGACTAAGAGATGAATCTTTATCCAGGGAGTAACATCAATTCGAAATTAGAAGAACCTAAAAGGCTCAAAATGGTTTTTATATTTTACGAATTAGCGCCTCCTACAGCTCATCAAAATTGAAGAAGAGCCAAGAAAAATCCTAATGAAGACTGATGAGGGTAATGAAACATAAAATTTAGCAACCTTTTGAATGGAGTAGATCATGAAATGACTGGAAGAACTGTGTCTAAAAGTTTTTAGTAACCGCGATACAGACATGCCACACATTCTTTTTTATTGTATGCTATAAATAGTTAAGAGGCGTCCCAGAAGTTCTGAAACGATTTCTAGAACAATGAATTTACAAATCGTTTCGGAACTTGTGGGACACCCTTTTATACCAACGATAGACAATTTACTTCTCTACAAGATTGTATATTTACTTTTTCGATTCATCTTTGATGTTTGGTACAGTAAGTCTAACAGGAAAAGCTCCAGATTTTTTAACTGCATCTTCAAAAAATCACATATTCAACAAAACAAGGTATACCAAAAATTCAGCAAGCAATTTTCTGCAATATGATGAGTCTTTTAATGAGAAATAATAGCGAAAAAGAGTCTTTGAGAAAGGTCATTTTCTCCTATTTTTCTCCCATCTAGTGACAACCAGTATTTCCTAGTTTTTCAGGTAAAAAAAGTATCAGGTTTATTTGTACGTTACAACAGTCTAATAGCGCAAAATTCTCTTTGAGAATTGAACAACGCGATGATGAAAATATGTACCTCGATTTTGTCTGACACTTTTCCCCGATCGAAAAGCTCAAAATATTGAAAGCGTCTCAAAAACCCAGAAATCCTTCGCTACATTCGTCATTCGCAATTTTCTTCATCTAAACTCAGCTTTCACGCAGTAAAAATATCATATTCGGAATCAGCGTCAAAAATCGACTAAAATAATGTATGCGGCACAAATATGTCCTTACAACAGAAATAAGCGCTTCTTTTTGTCGACTCTACTCATCTACAGACTGGACGTGTTTTTTTGTTCTATATTTTATTATTTTTCCCTCTTTTTTCCTTTTGCACTCTATATTTGACTATGTATAGTTTCAAATTTGACACACTCATTTACACTTTTTTCATTCTGATGATGACAGTGGATTCT